CTCCCATCTGCTTCCTGGCTGCTGCCATCCTCTTCAGCACCCTCGCCGCCTGCTTCGTCAACAAGCAACGCAAACGGAAACTCAAGCGCAAGAAAGGTGAGCCTCGGGCTGGAGCGCATCCCGTGTCCTTTCCATCTCCTCCTTTCTTCGCCCCTCGTCCCCAGTCGCATTGTGGTGGTAATGTTCTTCCCTGTCTGTCTCTTCTTCCATCCATGCACGTCTTCAGGTGAAGCCCTAACTTCATCCCTCAGCTGTGACTGAACGCAGCCGTGGTCGGGAGTGGGAGAGGAAGGGTGGGTGAAGAGGCACCAGAGAAGCTCTAGCCTGGGATTTCCAAGGGAGCTCCCTTACACGGTGACAACTCCTAGTCCCGGGGGCTTTAGGGCTGGGGATGATCTCATGCTTGGCCAGAAAGGGAGTGAAACTTGATGCAGCCGCCTTACCTCCCCGAGGTCCTCCAGACCTCGGCGTGCGGGTCGCTTCCTCCCTGCAGCAAGTGCATGTGGCCGGGGAGCTGGCGAGGGCAGGGGAAGCGCCTTTTGTGTGAGATTGTGACAGCAGGATTCCTAGGAAACTGTGACGGGAGCTGTTTGTTGTCAGCAACCATTAAAGCACTGGAGCAATGAAAACTTGGCCTCTTGTTGAGTGTCTTCTTTTGTGTTTTGATGTTAAGTTTGTCTGTCTGTGTCTTGTTGCGCCTCCTCAGCGTTCTCTCTTCTTTCCCCTTTTTATTCTTTTCCAGACCCTCCTCTCTCGATAACCCACTGCAGGAAGAGTTTGGAGTCCCCGTAAGTATCTGTCTTAGATGTGGCACCAAGTTGTGATTCGTCAAGTAGTTTGGAGATACCTCTTTCTGCAGTTGTTGTTAAGGTCAAATGGAAACATCTGACCTTGTTTTACTGCTGCTGATGTTTTCCCTGTTCCCCGGACTTCTGGGAACAGAATAATTCTCAAGAGACAAACAGCCTTTGGAGCAAAAGGCAGCAGGGACAAACGCAACAAAGTTTAAGCTAAGAGTCAACCCTGTGGAATTGTACACGTTGTCCAGAGCTGAACTTGATGAGAGGTTGAACTAAGTTACACAACAACCAGCTATGCTTCTCCCTAAGGAGAAGGGTTAGCCTGCTGCAATCGATCTTCCGTGCAAGCTCATTGTAGTTCTGAATCATTCTCCTTTTGCAGTGTTTTCTCTTGGGAAATTCAGATTGTCTTAAGTGCATTTTGCTCTTTTCCAATGAAGCGGCCCCCACTTGGCCTCTTCCCACGTGTACGCGCAGGTTGTGGATTATGGTTCTGTACTAGCCCCAACTTCTTGCAGATCCTGTCAAAACTGCTCAAGTGTGGTGACCAGAAAGAGCCACTAAACAGTGGGAGCATCTTCCCCATCTGAATGCAAGAATGAGAGATCTGAACACCTCAAGCTTTGGCTCCTGGACCTTTGTAAAATGGCCCAGTGCTGGTGGCTTTTCATCCTTCTTTTTGCCTGTTCTTGACCATGCCTGCATCATCTCTGTTGGATCTGTTCCACTTTGCCCTTCAGTCCTGTTTGTCCAAGGCTTTCTAAAAAGGGATGACTGCACCATTTTCATGCTGTCTCTCCCTGCCACTTTTCTTCCTTTTCAGGCTCTTATATTTGAGTGTTCAAGGTGAGGAAAACTTTGGTTTCAGTTTACCCGTCAGCTTCTATGAGGGAGAGGTGGAATTCTGCAGGAGGGAATGTTTTCCCGATGTTCCTCTGAAGCCCTAGAAGACAGAGAATCCCTTTTCTCAGACGCTTTCCCGGGTGAATGTAGAAAGCTTAAAGGAGTTGGAAGTGAGCTCTGGATCTTTTGCCATGCTGGGAGTGTGGAGCTCCTTGCAAGGCGCTGGAGGAAACTTCTTGCTTTAGAGGCATGTGGAGGTGTACTGAGCTCTGCTGAGGCCTGGAGAATTCGAAGGAGATACTTGCTTGTCTCCTACTTGCTTTTCCCAGCCTCCCGGGCTGTGTTAGAGCCAGGCAAGGTTCTTCCATCTTAACAATCCCTACGCGAACCTCTTCCAGCGGTGCCTCTTTTGAGAGCGCGTGGCACGTTGTTTTCTGGATCTAGCTGGACTTTGGTCCGGCACTTCTTCTGGGCATGGATAACTTTTGTCCCCTCCCTGTGACCGTGCCCTTTCTTGGTTTCTCTCCGTGGTCCAGGTTGTCTTCCGGCAAGGTGAGTCCCGAGAGCATCCGCACGCTCCGTCCGCCCTCGGAGTCCTCCGACGACCAAGGCCCGCAGGCCAAGCGGATGCTCAGCCCCAGCAAGGAGAAGGAGCTGTCCCTTTACAAGAAGACCAAGAGGGCCATCAGCAGCAAGAAGTACAGTGTCTCCAAGGCTGAGGCCGAAGCCGAGGCCACAACGCCCATCGAACTCATCAGCCGTGGGCCAGACGGCCGCTTCGTGATGGACCCGGCGGAGATGGAGCCCTCTCTGAAGACGCGCCGCATCGAGGGCTTCCCCTTCGTGGAGGAGACGGACATGTACCCCGAATTCCGGCAGTCGGACGAGGAGAACGACGACCCCATCGTGCCCGCCTCCGTCACGGCCCTCAAATCCCAGCTCACCCCTCTCTCCTCCAGCCAGGAGTCCTACCTTCAGCCACCAGCATACAGCCCCCGGTTCCACCGGGCCCTGGAGGGCAGCGGTGCCCTCGAAAGCCACCTGCAGGCCACCGGCCAAGCCCGCCCGCCGGCCCCGCGGGCCTTCCACCACGGCCAGTTCTACGGTTACCTCAGCAGCAGCAGCCCCGGCGAGGTGGAGCCGCCCCCCTTCTACATGCCCGAAGTCAGCCCGCTGAGCTCCGTCATGTCGTCCCCGCCGCTGCACCCCGAGGGGCCCTTCGCCTTCGGCGCCCTCGAGGCGCCCGCCGTGCCGTTCCCGCAGCCGCCGCAGCAGTGCGACGTGGCCGAGAGCGCCCAGCCCGCCGCCTGTCTTCCGCGGGGGCCGCCCCCGTCCTCCCTCCAGGTCCCCGCGTCCTACCCGGGCATCCTGCCCCTGGAGGCACCAAAGAGCTGGACTGGCAAGTCACCCGGCAGGAGCCAACCCTCTGTGCCCACCACCACCACCACCAAGTGGCAGGACAAACCTATGCAACCCATGGGGAGCCAAGGGCAGCTAAGACATACCAGTCAAGGTATGGGCATACCCGTGTTGCCTTACCATGAACCGTCCGAGCCCGTGGGCCACAGCGGCACAAGCACATTCAGCCTGGACACCAGGTGGTACGAGCCCCAACCCCGACCTCGGCCCAGCCCTCGGCAAGGCAGGAGGGCTGAGCCCAGTTTACATCAGGTGGTGCTACAACCTTCGAGGCTTTCTCCTCTCACCCAAAGCCCCCTCAGCTCCCGCAACAGCTCCCCGGAGCTGCCGGCGCGCGCCCGCCCGCGCCCGGGCC